GTTTGGATCTGGGGTTTTTAGGCTACGCCTTGATACATTCACCCGACCCGAACCCGACCCGTTATTGTTATTAAAGGGGTGTGCTAAAAACATTTGTATCCAAAGATTTTTTGCACATCCATATTTCATTGGCAGGGTTGGTAAATATTTATGTTCGATAGATTGTGATTATAGATGCATGTCTGTGTCCAAATATATATGATTATATATTTATAATTGTTTTAATCCTTAAATTAAGTTAATCATGATGATCAAAAAGTCGAAATTTAGCTACCCATGTATGATGAGGAACTTATTAATTAACTTTCATGTATCTTATTAACTTTTTTCTTTATCACCTATTTTTCTTGTATCCATTTTGTATATGCTGTATATTTGTATATGTATCTGATTTTAGCAGGTAAGAATTATTTTTCTTTGTTCGAGGAATATCTGAATCCATAATCGATAAGCATATACAAATGTGATAAGTGGCATATCCAAGCTCTATCAAAATAGTTTGCAACTCAAGCTCACATTCATTCGAATTAGATGAAGTCTGTATTATGACAATAAAATATTCACTTACTTGATGAATTCGTGCTTAGTTAGGTTTATTTCAAAACAAAGATATTACAACCTATAAGAGTTTATCCCTAACTAACAAAAAAATTAACATAAAATTTTAAGGGAATAATGCTTCCAGCCCCCAAAAGCTAAGGAAACGTGCTTCCCACCCTCAAGACTTTATCAACGGGTGTTTTACCCCCAAAAATAAAGATTATGTTCTCTGAGCCCCCAAAACACAAAACCCAAAACATTAAAACATGTGAAGACCGTAATACCCTTCTCTCTCTCTTTCTTTTTTTTATTAAAATATGATGATGATTATTTTATTATTTTTGTTTTCTCTCTCTTTATCATGATGTACTGAGATGATAGTTAAAATGATTGATGATGATTATTTTATTATTTTTGTTTTTTATTATTTTGGTTGTTTGTATTGGGAGATTGTTAAAGTTACGGGTTAATTGTTAATGTTACTACTTAATTGTTAATGTTACGGGTCAATTGTTAAGGTTATGAATCATCTCTCTCTCTCTCTTTCTTTTTTTATTAAAATATGATGAGGATTATTTTATTATTTTTGTTTTCTCTCTCTCTTTATCATGATATACTAAGATGATAGTTAAAATGATTGGTGATGATTATTTTATTATTTTCTTTTTTTATTATTTTGGTTGTTGTGTATTGGGAGATTGTTAAAATTACGGGTTAATTGTTAAGGTTACGAATTAATTGTTAATGTTACAGGTCAATTGTTAGGTTATGAATCCTCTCTCTCTTTCTCTCTCTCTCTCTCTCTCTATCATGATATTTCTTTGATGATATTGAAATGATTAAAGAGAATTATTATTTTATTATTTTTGTTTTTTATTCTTTTTGTATTTTTAGAATATTCGTTGTTAAGGATAATGGTTGGTTGTAAAGGTTATGCATTGATTGTTAAGGTTACGGGTTGGTTGTTAAGGTTAATGGTTTGTTGTTAAGGTTATGGGTTTGTTGTGTAGGTTACGGATTTGTTGTTAAGGTTACTGGTTTAATTGTTAAGGTTATGGGTTTAATTGTTAATGTTACATATTTAATTATTAAGGTTACAGGTTTAAGTGTTACGGTTACGATTTATTAATTGTTAAGTTTACGGTTTAATTGTTAAGGTTACGGGTTTAATTGTTAAGGTTACGGGTTTAATTGTTAAGGTTACGTTTTTAATTGTTAAGGTTACGAGTCAATTGTTAAGGTTATGGATCCCTTCTCAGTTCTCTCTCTCCCTTGTAACCTTAACAATTAAACCCGTAATCTTAACAATTAAACCGTAACATTAACAATTAAACCGGTAACCTTAACAATTAAACCCATAACCTTAACAATTAAACCGTAACCTTAATAATTAAACCGTAACCTTAATAATTAAACCCGTAACCTTAACAATTAAACCCGTAACCTTAACAATTAAACCGTAACCTTAACAATTAATAAACCGTAACCGTAACAATTAAACCCGTAACCTTAACAATTAAATATGTAACATTAACAATTAAACCCGTAACCTTAACAATTAAACCCGTAACCTTAACAATTAAACCTGTAACCTTAATAACAAATCTGTAACCTACACAACAAACCCATAATCTTAACAACAAACCCTTAACCTTAACAACCAATCTGTAACCTTAACAATCAATGCATAATATTTACAACCAACCATTATCCTTAACAACGAATATTCTAAAAATACAAAAAGAATAAAAAACAAAAATAATAAAATAATAAGCCTCTTTAATCATTTCAATATCATTAAAGAAACATCATGAGAGAGAGAGAGAGAGAGAGAGAGATGATTCATAACCTTAACAATTGACCCCTAACATTAACAATTAACTCGTAACCTTAACAATTAACCCGTAACTTTAACAATCTCCCAATACAAACAACCAAAATAATAAAAAATAAAAATAATAAAATAATCATCATCAATCATTTCAACTATCATTTTAGTACATCATGATAAAGAGAGAGAAAAAATAATAATAAAATAATCCTCATCATATTTTAATAAAAAAAAGAAAGAGAGAGAGAGAGAGAGAGGATTCATAACCTTAACAATTGACCCGTAATATTAACAATTAACTCGTAACCTTAACAATTAACCCGTAACTTTAACAATCTCCCAATACAAACAATCAAAATAATAAAAAACAAAAATAATAAAATAATCCCCATCAATCATTTCAACTATCATCTTAGTACATCATGATAAAGAGAGAGAGAATTGGGGGCTGGAAGCATTTTTCCCAAATTTTAAATACAAAATTTAACAAGAAGCCTTCATTTTTTTAAAATTAATTAGAAACAGTTAGAAGAATATAAGAAGAAGAAGAAGATGGGGAAAAAAAAAGCTTAATTGCACCTAAATATCCTACACTTTCCCCTGATGCACTTATATACGTTCACTTACTTTTTTTTGCAGCATTCGTACAATCTAAATATTTATAAAACTTTCATTTATATACTAACATTTTTTGGTAACAACTATACACCCCTAAGGTCTTAAATCTTACACTTAAAAAATCTTTATGTTTTTAAAAGGACACTTAAACTCCCTAAATTTTTTAAAACTTGCACTTAAATATCTTTAAAGTTGAAAGTATTTAATTGTAAGTTTTAAAAAATTTAGAATGTAAATGTTGCTCAAACAAATAAGGATATATAAGTTTACATTTTATAAAATTTAGGATATATATAAGTTCCCAAAAGACGAGTAAAGGCATATATAACTGAAAAGCAGGAGAAATAATATGATATTTAAGTGCAATTAAGCCAAAACTTAATAAAATAAGAGAACAGGCTTCCTTATAAACTCCCAGCAGAAGCCGGATTCTGCCGCTTCCTCTCGTGGAGACAAGCGGATAATTATTTATTTATTTGCTCCTGTCCAAAACACCAAAATAGAAAATATAAAATCGGAAAGGGGTGAAAATGCATAAAAAACCTATGCATACCGGACGCTACTTCCTTCTGTTAACACCTCAGCGCCCCCTTCGTCCCAAAATTCCATCAGATCTAAAAACGAAAAAACTCCCTTTTTCAATAATTCGCACCCAAAATCCCTAAATAATTTCGATGATCAATTCGATCGCTACATACAAAGAGAGCCTCTCTCGGATCGCCAACGAGGTCTTCGACGCCGCCGAAGAGATGGAGATCCCTCAATCGAGGGATGGATCTCGAGAGGTTTCGCCTGCTTCTGGCCGTCGGTTCTCGCAGAGGTCTTCGAGATTCTCGTCCCCGGTCGCTAAATCTCCGATTGCCAATGGGGTGGATCATGGATCACACGATGAGGTTTGTGCTAATTTTGATCGACTTTTGATGTTTTCTTTGAGAATTTATTAATGTGATTCTGTGTGGATTGAGGTTAGGGTTTCCCTGTTGTTAGATGCTAATTCGATGATGGTAATTTGAGCTTTAGGAAGAATTTCAGTCTGAATTGAGGTCTTTTTTTTACTCGAGAATAAAATCCATATTGATCTAGTAAGTTGGGTATTCGAGAAATTAGTTCACAAATTTGGTTTCAAGGTGGAATGAAATCTTACTAGTGGCTAGTGACTTGATTTTTGATGCTTCAAAGGGGAAGATCAGCACCTAAAGACTGACAAAGATGATAAGAGCATATTTGGCTCAATCCGGAAAAGTGTGTAAATTCGTCAACCACAAAAGGGTTCAATTCTAGAATGTTACGTAGGTCATCAATAACTAAAGTCTCCTGTATATGGGGATCAGTTATATAGCCGGGAATGGACACTCTTTTTTTTTTTTTAAATCCATGTTGTCTATCCTATACATGGATATCCATTTTGACGCTTATAAATAGATACCCATATCTATTCTTTCAGGTAATAGAGGTCAAGTTCCAAAAGTCCTCTGTTAGGCACACATGCATACAAACTTTAGAAATTGTGAAGCATAACATAAATTAGTGCTGAGGACAGTCTCCATTTGCTGCATCACCAAAGGCACTCTAAAGCTCGCTTGTCGGTGTCCTTTCCGAATTTTATGAAGCTTTTGCACAATCAACTTTTATTTGTTGTATATGCTTTTAGATTACACTAGTATAAAGTACGTGCGTTGCATGTGGACTTACTTGTCATATTTTCTAATGCACTCTCCAATAGTGGAATGCAAAATATTCCATAAATTAAGGATAGGAGGTATCACTTAGGTGCTTTTTTGTTTCTCCTTTTTTTCTTGTTATTATGTTGGTAGTTTTACCAAAATTATCAATAAGTTTTATAAGATATTGCCTTATAATATTGAATATAATTTAATGGTTACTCTTAAGACATGATTTTTTTTTAATTTATTTTTTATTTTGTTGTTTTTTGTCTTTCATTAAACCATCACATAATATCATCACTAAAATTAACATGACAGGGGCAGGTTTTCAATGTGAAATTATACTATTCAAACATATAAAATTTTAAATTTGCAAATTTTTATACTTTATATTCAAGAAAAAATAACTTGTAATATATTGAGCAATCTGTTTAATCATGATCATGAAAAATCTGTATTTTTTAATTCATTTAATAATATCAACTCTTTCATACTTCCTAAACACTTGTCCACGACAATCAACTAATTTCTAGACCTCTTGAAAAAAAGATACAACAATGTAAACATAAAAGAGAGAGCCAACAAAAAGGATTTTTTTTTCTAGCAAAACCTTGTCGAGAATCAAACTGAAAGTACTTCGCCTCAATATCAGTCAAATCTTCAACAATTGCATGCACCATCATCCTCCAAGCATCCATTAATGGCTGCATTTTCATCCTATGCACCATCATCCTCCAAGCATCCATTAATGGCTGCATTTTCATCCTCGAATGTTGTCTACCACACCCTAACTCCTCCTTCACTCTTGACATCATCACATTGTCTATTGTCACCATTTCTTTCTCTACCACACCTCAGCTCCTCCTTCACTTTTGACATCATCACATTGTCCATTGTCACCATTTCTTTCACAAAGGAACTTCCTCCAACTTCCACCAGCCTATAAGATTATATATATAGCTTGGAACTTGGAGATGCTTAATTTGACAAAAGTGAAGGAAAAAAAGCTATGAATGAAGAAAGAAATAGGAGGGGAAAAAGTTATTCTTATGTTCAAGTTTTAGAAAAATTATTCTTTTTCTATTCAAATAAAAAACTCTATATATTAATTAATAAATTTCTCAAGTAAAAAAGTTATTCTCATGTTCAAGTAAAAAAGAGCATCTAAGTGAATTAGAAGTAAATCTTTTACCTTAATTGTCGAAACCTAATTTTCATAAATTTGAAGATACATAGTACTAGCTCTCCAAAAAAAATCAAGCTCTACCCTGCAAACTTTGAGAAAAATAAGTATTAAAAAAGTAGTCTTGTATCATTGCATTCATTTAATATTGAAGATACATGGTGCTAGCTCCAAAAAAATCAAAGTCCAACCTGCAAATTTTGAGAAAAATAGTAATTAAAAAATAATTGAATTTCATGAGAAACTATTATGCAGAGTTGAGACCTTTGAAATCGTACAGAGTTGCATTTGAAGTGGAATTAGTATATATAATGTTTATAATCGACTTTGTTAGTAATAATTGTTAACGGAAATAATTATTGTCATTTTTAGTAACAGAAATAAAGTTAATGAAAGAGATTAATATGTTGATGGGAGGTTACAAAAATGTAAACAAATGAAAGTGAGTTTGGACTTATATCAATTGAAACATGAAACGTCTTTAACCATTCTGTGTGAGTATTTAATATAAAACATTCATGTTTTTTGGGGGTTATGCATGAAACGTCTTTGACCATTCCGTGTGAGTATTTAATATAAAACATTCATGTTTTTTGGGGTTATGAATATGCATTTAATTTGGGGTTATGTATGTATGGGTATAGTTTATGTATGGATGCATGTATTTTATATATGCATGTATATGTTTAAAAAGGCATGCATTTAATTGAGGGTTATTATGTATGTATGAGTATTGTTTATGTATGGATGCATGTATTTTATGTATGTATGTATATGTTTAAAAGGGCATTTTCGGAAGAAATGTTTTAACATGTCAATCCACTTTTAGAATAGTATTAGATAGTTTATGTATGGATGCATGTATTTTATATATGCATGTATATGTTTAAAAAGGCATGCATTTAATTGAGGGTTATTATGTATGTATGAGTATTGTTTATGTATGGATGCATGTATTTTATGTATGTATGTATATGTTTAAAAGGGCATTTTCGGAAGAAATGTTTTAACATGCCAATCCACTTTTAGAATAGTATTAGATAATTTTGTTCTATTTTACTTCCCTGATTTTTTTTTTTGCTTTTGCCAAGAAAGGTAAAACAGGGGTTGGCCTTCTGCTAAAGTAGAAACTTCTAAATTCTTCAAGCAAAAATGGGATTATGAATAGTGAGATCTCATGGCTCATGGATGTTTTTTATTTTTTGGCAGCAGAAGGAGATGAGAAATATCTAATAGTTACATGTGCCTGAAAACATTGCATTGCAGAGTTATATATGATATATTGATGTGCAATGTTGCATGCCAATTTTAAATAGTGGTATAGCATAGGGAATGGAAACAATAGGTGTCAATAGTTCATGGGAAATGTAATTTTTTTTCAAAAGGAGAGTCTAAGCTAGTATTGTGAATTTGATCTGATAGTTTAATTTATCAGTTTTGTGAGGCAGAATCACAAAAATGTATTGAAAGTTAGACATGTGACAGAGTATCATCTAGTATCTGCATTTTTAAAATAAATTTCGCATGTGAGATGCGTTGATGTTCCAGCTAAGGGGGTGTTAGTCAATCGGGACATTTTCATGCAAAATGGGATAATTGTTAAAGTGGAATAATTTTTTGTTAGTGGGATATTTTAGTGGGATAAATATGAACAATTTTGTGAAGCGGGATATTTTGATAAAATAACGTGGGATAAATATTTATAACCATGAAATATATATTTATGCATTTTGAAGATATAAATACTATTTACGTATTTTAAACTTACTATTATTGATTGATAATTGCTTACAAAATTGTTCTTTACTATTAAATAACTTTTGGTTAAACTATAAGATATTGACAATTATTATTATAATCATGGTCTAAAGATGGTGATAACCATAATAGGAAAGAAGTAAAGAAAAAAAATATAAAAATAAAAAATAACAAAATAAATACAAGTTCTAGTTTTTTACAACCTAGTTCCAAACTAAAACTTAGAATAATTTGAGAGAGTAGAACTCTCATTTTTTTTATAGAAAAATAAAAAAAATGGGATAATTTTGTACCATTATCTCAATTCTAGTTTTGTTAGAGTTCTACTTGACTAACACTGTAAAATTTTGTTCTAGTTTTAGTTCTATGTGACTAACACCTTAAAAATTTATCTCACATATTATCCCAGTTCTAATTTTAAGTTCTAAGTGACTAACCCCCCCTAAGAATTGAAAGAGCAAAGTTGGAAAGGGAATGTGAGATCACGTAAGTTTTAGGATGATATGGTAGGGGGCTTGAGTGGAGATTAGATGAATGGTTGAGACTATGTTGCTAACTTTTGTTCTATTTCACTATAGATTCATATATTGAGCTTTCCGGAAAATGTTCCATTCTTTTGTGTACTCATTTTTGGAAGAAAAAAAAAATTTTGGTTGTTAATCACCATTTTGATTTGTTCTAATAGAATCACATGTTGCAGGTTTCAAAATACAAGGCAGATATTCAGAGGCTTCTAGCATCTGAAGCTGAAATTAAGGAATTGGCATTCAGTTATGCTGCTGTATTGAAGGAGAAAGAGGTACGTTACTGCCGTTCGAATATATCTGCTTCATGAGTGTTCCATGTGGTCCTTAGTTGTGTGAGCTTATAGCTTCGGCGAGTCTGATTAGCAACCTCTGGTTATCATATAGTTTGCCAATTTTTGATGCATATTGTATTTATCTCTATTGGGGTTTCCATTTACTGTTGATGTAAGAAATAGAAGGCGAGCAGTAATGGTTAATTGTTTCCATGAGCTCTTCTGATGTGTTTTTCCCTAGTATAGTTTTTTCTTCATGGACATTGTGATTTTCTGGACCTAAGGTTTGGATTTTGACCTTTGATTATTGAAGTTAACTAGAGTAGTTTCATGTTTCTTAGTTAAAATAGTTTGCATTCTTTTTCTTTGAACAGGTATTTGATCAGGGTTTGCCTTATAAATAAAAGATAAAAGTTTTTTCTTAATTATCATAATACTTGGTGTTACATGTCTTCAAATGCATATCTACTCTTCTAGTTGTGCAAAAAGCTCAGAAAACTATTGAAAAATTTGCTAATTGATGCTCCCCAATGTACCGTGGAGACTAGTTTACTGCATCTATTTCTCTAATACACATAATAACATAAAATAATCTGCTAATACGGGTCAACCTCGTCATTGAGTTAACTATTGATGTAGAACTTTTATGTCCTAATTGACATGTATTGTATTAATATATTTTCAAAAGTTTGCATCATTTTCCTTTTTTAACTTTTTGTGGATTTTCTTTTATTTCTCTTTCAATTTAACAGGAGCAACTGTCTAAATTGCGTGAAGAGAATGGCTCATTGAAGAAAACTATCGATGCCAAAGAGTCTGGTGGACATGGATCAAGAGATGAAAGTGTTAAAACATTACCAAACAACTCTAAGGTAATTCTAAGAACTCTTAACTCTTAGTAATCTTTGATTCAATTTATGCTGGAGTACTTCAAGGGACGTCAACTACATGAGGAGGTACTTATAGATTCAGTTGGGATCTAATTGTTTTTTCTATGTCATAGTTAGATGTCTTGCTACACTTATCTTCATATAGCTTGTTGTTTCTCACTTAAGATGCGTCTTCACAGATCCCTGTGGATCGTTCACCTGGCAGGTTACAGAGGAATACATCTCAAGGGAATTCTCGCTCAGGAAGCCATTCAGGGAAAAGTTCCATAACCAAGCAAGATGGACTCAGTAATGGCAGTATGCAGGCTGTTGATGCTACAACACAGATAATTGCAAATTCGCCAATGACTGATAAGGTATTTGTTCTAGTTCTCTCTTTTTCTACCTGGTAAGTTCATGGGTGCTTGTCAATACGTTGGTAATGATAAGCGAGTGAAAAATCTACTCTCTGTATCTTTAAATTCCGTGAGCATGCTCATATAGGTTCTTGATGCATATGGTTTCCCTATGTTTGGCAGTAGTTATTATAAACCCTTAGGAATCAGGTGATGCTTACTCTCACTATCCCATGCTTGTCTGTCTTTTGTGGATACTTAGTCATAATGCTTGCTCTCCCTTACTATTGTCATATATGAGTATCATAGCTCTCATTCCCTGGTATAAAATAGTTTCCTGCTTACGTTTCTTGTTTCTTATGTTGTTCGAGGGTGCTTGCTATGTCATTATGCATGGGTAAATTTAGCTACTTCTCGTATTTTAATAATACCTTCACACTGTGCTTTGAACATTTCCATTATATTGTTGTTTATCTTCTATTATATGTGCACATACTTAAAGGTTGTTTTTTACACAAATTTAGGAACATAACAATTTGATCGATGAAGCTGGATCATTGGCGGCAATACAGGCTAGTCATGAGTCTGAAATAAAACAACTAAAGGCTCAACTTGATAGTGAGCGCGAGAAGGCATCAACCATACAGATAAAGTTACAAAGTAAATTGTGACGTTCATTTGCTCTTTGTCTCTACTGCATTGTTCCCATTTATTATTCTTTCCCAAATAACATATCTTTCCATGTTGCTCTCTGTAGAGGAACAACAGCTGAAAGAGTCTTCTCAAAGGGAGCTCCAAGATTTGAAGATTGAGAAGGAGAGGGTAAGTGCATTTGGTTCTTGCCATCTGAATGATTAGGATTTAGACTTATAAATCCAGCAAGAATATCAAGATTATTATATAGGATAAATTGCGGATAGATGTAGTCTAACACAACTTAGTTGTAATGCTGATAGCTTTGATCTCTATTTCTCAAAATTTCTTGACTTATCGTCATGTTGTAAATGATAACTTGGTATTGTCTGGATGAATATGTTCCCAATAGATGGAATTGGAAGTTGACTGTCCTTATCACAAGAATTGTGGGTATAGAGTTTGTTATTTATATTACTCGTAACCATGAATGTAAATGCCTTATAAATAGCTATAATACTCTCATTTTCTTGCTTCTTCAGCAATGTTTCAAATATCCTGACTTGGCATCGGCCGATATTATCCTTATATAAGGCCTGCTGCAAAACAATATGGTCTCAAATCCTTTACTGCTTTTTGCAATTTTTAGGTGACATGTCAATATTTTCTTGATGCATTAGGCAACATTTCAGGCTTTCAGCGTAAAAATATTGGCTGAAATGTTGCAATGTTGATTCAGAGTTTTATTTACTTTAAAGATTGGTTTGGATTTACGGTTCTGTTGAGGCCTACAACAAACAAATATCTGCCTAAAAGAAGAATTGGGGCTCAATTGAGACTTTTGCAAAAGATACCACCTTTCTCAATAGCTCCATTCTTTCGTACATCAAGTATGAATATCTACGTTAAATATATAGTGACACCCCTATATGTATTAAATATCTCCGAGATATCCCCCATATCCGCCATCTGATATGGAAATTTTCCATGCGACATTCAAAACACTGTTTTCTTGTCAACAATATCTTGTTCTATTTTATTTTTCTTATTCATTCCATTACTGTCTCTGTTAACTCATGGCACAATGTCTTGGTATCTAACTGCAGATCTTTACTGATATGAAAGAATTACAAGAACAGCTGAAGGAGAAAATCACGGAATTGAGACTACTGCAAGTGGAACTTAGTAGGAGGAATATGGAAGAAGATCTAAATGATTCTTTGAGAAATTTGGAAAGAAAGGTCTCAGTATTAGAAGAAGACAATGCCAAGCTTAAGGTTGGCTCTCTTAGACTCTTAGTGAAACATTCTTATGTCAGTTAATTATATCCTACACTAAATCAGGACCATTCTAAATCTATTATCTCCTCAAATTGCCTCTCCTTGTTTTCTTTTTTGAACTGCATGGGTCAATAGTCAATCAACTCATTCCACCTCTATATTTTTTGTAGATGGAGAAGAACGAACTTGAGGTAACTCTAAATCTTCGCAGCAGGTCAGAAAGTATTGCTGCTAATGATCCCGGATTTATTGATAAGAATACAAGTGAATTGATTGAGGTAGGTCCTCTTTCCTTTTTGGCAGCTTGTTTATCGATGATGAGCGTGGATTGCTTAGAAGTCTTGAAACAAGTCTAACGTATTACTGTAATATTGGTAATATTCATATCAATGGCGAAAAAAACATATATTTGCAACCACAAGGCTACCAATCTTTTGGTATAGCTCTTGATCTCATCCTTAACTAGTAGTTTAATTAATTACCTCTAGTCAGTAGCCTTAACACCATCAATAAGGTCTCTGTTTTTTTATGGTTAAGGGTTTGGCAGCAGTTCATAGGAAATTCCACTCATTACCTTCTATGACATTTTCTTAAATCCTGATTTGTTTTGCTGAGGAGTTTGTACCATCATTTGAAAATTGCAATTTTTATTTTTGTTGTATTGATTATCTTTAGAGAATGTTTTTGTATGTATGCAGTAATCTCTGTCAGGATGAATGCATTGTACCTTAGAAAAACTTCTTTTCTAATGCGTCATGTTGAGTGTTAGCTAGAGAGCTAGGTTACCGGACACTTGATCTGGACGCCCATATCTGTGTCACTTCACGTATCTGTGTCCGTGTCCGATACTTCACGTATCTGTGTCCGTGTCCGATACTTCACGTATCTGTGTTCATGTCCGACATTCCTTAGACACTTCTTGAGTATACATACACTTACTCGGATGTGTATGGAATTATATAATACATATTTTACTTTAAAACGCTCGTGATACACTTCTTGGACGTATATCTTACACTTCCCCTCAAATTTCCACAACTCATTGGACTCAACTCGGGTTTGTTTCATCCCATCACCAGTTCATAAGTAAGGGTAGTTTGAGTATCTAGTTAAAAAAGGAGTGGTTTTTCAATTTATAATCTTATCCATGAAAGAAACATAAAAACTTTTATTGAGATTTTAGTTCTCATAACATGTGAATGAAAAACAATATCGATATCATATAAATTATTAATATGTATACATATAGTTGTGTCCATGTATCCTACAATTTACAAATTTGGTGTCACATATCCTCACCCGTGTCAGTGTCTGCACCTACACCTGTACCCGTGCAACATAGCTAGAGAGGCAACTACGCTTGTTCACATCATAATGTACTTGTTCTGAAAAGTAGCTTCATGCTAATTTAATAGATTAAAGGTGAATTCTAATTTAATTGAAAATCTATTTCTTATCTTGAAACTAAGTAGCTGCGTGATAAATAGTCTTTTCAGCTCTATTAGTAACGTACTTAGTTGTTCAACTTTGGATGTGACGTTGAAAAAAGAGCTTATAGCGTATATATGCTATCAAGAAAAACTTTGGAAAGGACTAAATAACAACCTTCCTAAATTATCATAGACATGTATGAAATTATTGGAAATGAATATAAATTCCTTCCAAGTTTTCCCCCCTTATTGGATCACTTGAATACCTTCAGCAATTAACTGTTTACATATTCACAATGGTTCATGAATTCTTTTCTTCCTACCTTTTTTTTCAAGGCTCCCTCCCTTTCCCTACCTATTCAATAATTGTATATGGCTTACCCATAGTGCAGTGTTGTTAGTGAGATTTTGCAATCACTTGACCAGACAACATTATGCTTGCTCTGTTGATCAGTTCTTTGTTTCTGTAATTATCATTGAGATTCAAAGTAGTGGCAAGTGGAACTTGTTTTCTGATTGAATCTTTCTTGTTTGTTTACTGCCATTTCTGTCGTGCATAATCTCTAAGGCATTGTTGATTAAGTGGTTTTGTTATGTGATTGCAGCTTTCCTCTGTGGGACTTATGTCGTAGAAACAATGTATGACATCTTAACATTATTGTACGCTATTGTTTAGATCTCTCTCCACCGTGTTGTGGAGTCCTTTCCTTTTAGGGCCACGAATGATGTCTCTCTTCTATTTGTTTTTGACACAGTCTTATCTATATATTATCTTTTGGTTTGTATACTTTGGGGGATATGCATAACTTTTCACCCTGACTATATCTTGTGCGTAGTAAGACTTGAATCCAGTTCTCCACATGTATACTCATCTTGACCTTTCTAGATTCTTGAGTTTGGGGAGGTGATATAGGAGGTCTAGATGCCTACCTAGCATTTTTCAAGCACCTCTTTGTAGCCATTACATGGGCTTCTAGATTCATGCTGCTTCTTTTGGTTTGTATTGTATTTAGCACATTTGCACAAATCTGAAGCTATCCAATGGCAACGAAGTTTTAATCCTCTTCCATTTATGTAGTGTAACATCTTTAATCCAAGTCTCTCACACAGAGTTTGTTGACCTAGTTTCTTCTTGTCTATAATTAAATGTAGAAAGCGACTGAAGATATGGAATTATCTATGTGGAAGTTGAAGGAAAGTTTGGAACAGACCTCCAAAGAACGGGATAAAGCATTGCAAGAATTGGATCGGCTCAAGCAGCATTTGCTAGAGAAGGTATTTATTATTTTGATCTTCATTTACTATTCATGTTATCACCGTGTAGTTACTGCTCTGCAGAAACATCTTATAGCTATGACCACTATTTAGTATTTCTCAGATTCTCAGGGTCCAGATTGCATTTTTCTGTTTGCATAGAGTCACTTCATTCACTTGAATTAACCTGATAGAATTCTCTTATTCTGATTTTCTCCCCTTGTAAGTATAAATCATAAATAAAAAAGCTGATTGTGTGATAGCTCATATGGCTAGTTTTCTTCCAGTTTAAATTTGCTCTCCTAGTTGTTGCAAAATTATAATGATATGGGCAGATGCTCAGCTTGTTACATAGAAGCAAACTGGATGTTTAATGATTTTCTACCAACTAGATGTTATTGGTTTGCATCCAGATTACTTGGACACGACATATTGGATGCCATGTTCTTGTCCAACACGTGCCCGACACGGACTCTCCGCAGGCACGCCATGGACACATGCGGTTCAAAACAAAACCCGATTGCCCTATTAGTTATACCCTGAACTAGCTTCTTTGGTCATATTGGGTTCAAACCCAATTGATTTTTGAACTCGAAAACTGAAACCCATTACTTAGCTTGAAGAATACCATATTGTATTATCTCATACGGTCAAAAATAAACTTTTATTGCTAAACCTTATTCTTAGTTTTATTTAACTTGATTCTTAATTGTTATAGATAATACAAGAAACATACAAATGTTATAGGTATTTTAATTCAATAATCTAATATAAACTGTATATATATAGCCGTGTCCTTGTATCCTACATTTTACAAATTTGCCGTGTCCCGTGTCCATAACTGTGTCTGTGTCCGTGTGCGCACCCGTATCCATGCTGCCTAGGTTTGCATGGCTTTCTATCTTAGTATATCTTACTGATTATAAGCCTCTCTCGAGAAGTTGTTTTATGAGTTAGCAAGCAATATTTTGCAATTCTCAAATTAAAATTTTGTCCAATGCCTGGTTGAAGTAAGTTGCATAGTCTATGCTGATTATAATTCCATTAGTCTCAGCATCTGTCTTGTGTTTTGCATATGCTGATGCTTTTGGGATTGGGTGTACACTTAGCGAGGTTTTTCTCTTCGAACGTTCTGCAGTCAAATTGAAGATGGTTTCTTCTACTACGGTATTGTCTAGGAACTTGAAGAATCAGATAAGATGGATGAGGACAGCAAGGTCATCGAGGAACTTCGGGCAACTGCTAATTATCAAAGAGCTCACATTCTGCAGTTGGAAAGAGCTTTAAAGCAGGAAACAGCAAGCAAAGAAGAAATTATGAAGTTTAAGAGTGATGAGCTTCAGAAATCAAGCGAAATGATTAATAACTTGAGGGAAAAACTTGCAAACTGCATGAGCATAGTTGATTCGAAGAACATTGAACTTCAAAATCTTCAAACTGCACTTGGCCAGTATTACGCTGAAAGTGAAGCAAAGGTATGAAGGTTCACAACCAAGTCTTGAACTTTTTATGTTATATCCTTATTAGGCTGAGAGGATCATCTAATTTCTTCTCTTTTGCAAAATTTTTAATACTTATGTATGTGCCTTTATCTTCTGGTAGGAACGATTAGGAAGAGATTTGGCTGTGGCAAGAGAAGAATCAGCAAAACTTTCTGAAACATTGAAGGTATGTTCATAGCCCTGCATTTGAGATATAATTGATTATCATACTCTACTGTACTTTTTTATCTATTGTATACACAGTATAATCCAAAGGGATCTGATGTTTGGTGTTTGTGCATCCCTACAAGCATGATCATGATACATGAGTATTGCAAAACAATTCTCTAGATCTAATTCCTCCCAAGTCTCCAACAGTGTTACAATTATAAAGTTGCAGATGGATGTGTCCTAAACTTTCAAGGTGTAAACTTGCCTGTCCATCTTTCTGTTGGGGTCATTCTGACAGCTCCGCTTATGAGTTGAAACTTATTTTTACTACTTTTTTGGCTGACGATCTTCTCTCAAAACAAGTCAGATTCGTCTACAAGTATCAAAATCAATCTAATTAAGAGGTATTCCTAAGAATCGCTTCTGATCCTTGCTCGGGCAAAGTTTGGTACTCATCTACGTCCTAAGTTGGTCCGTGCTTCAAGCACATTGTGCCAGCTGAGCCCATTACATATTCAATGATCTGTGTGGAAATTTTTAAGTATTGATAAGGCTGTTGTCCTTTAATATATCAAAATAATGCACCATCGAACATGTACGTGCTGCCATTTAATTTATCCTCTGAGTATCAGTGAATTGTCTGGATATGGTCTCTCTGCTGACACTTTAATCTGATGCTGTGTATAAAGATTCCTCACTCTGCTCTCTTTCATTAATTCCATGGGGGAATTGCATCCTTTTTTAATACTTTTACAACCTAGAATTGAGTTGTCTAATCATAGTATCTGGAAAGTATAGTTTGATAATAAGTGTCCTTTTATATTTTAGGCTGTAAGTGAAGGGCTGGAAATATCTAAAAGGGAAAAGGAAGAAATACTTGGTAAGCTTTCACATGCAGAAAGAATGTTATCAGATGGTAAATGTGCCATACAGAAGCTGGAGGAGGACAATTCGAAGTTGCGGCGTGCACTTGAGCAGAATATGACAAGACTAAATAGGATGTCACTGGATTCAGATAATTATGTTGACAGGTACTTATGACAACTTTGCTTTTATAATTCGAGCAAAACAATTTTATATTTTTTTGTGCAATATTTTATCTTGTAAGATTGAAGTTATAAAGGTTTGTTAACAAAATTTGCAGCCTTGCTGTGGGGACTTGTTTTCTACTAGTTGTGTTCATCAAATGTTACCTCTAAGATGCATATGTTATTAAACTCAGGATTATAAAAAACAGAGTGAAATGATGCTTGCATGAGCACCAAGTAGCAGTATATAGAGACCTTTAATATCAGTTGTTTCATAATTGGGGAGATAGATATCTCTTTTCACCCTTTCATGTTTTATATGTAAATATTATAATTAGCACTACCAGGCTGGGCCCTGGCCCCTGCTAAGCTCAATCCAATTTGAGGTGTGATTAGGTTGCACTTCCAAGTGGATGGGCTGAAATCAGGTATTAGATGCTGACTCTAAAATCTCAAGGACAATTCATCTTGTTGGGCCTGTATTAGAAATATCCCAACAGATATATCCTGTTATTTACCCATCAACCGAGAGACTGAACACCCACTATATACCCATTACTGCTTCTCAACAATTGAGAGGTTTGAAATGCAGTTTTCTCTAATCTAACAGTTATGGCTCTTGAGAATACGCAACAATTTGTCCTAACCGCGAGAACAAATTCTCCTAAGGTCTGGTTTCAGGGTCTGAATATCAGTGCGCTCTTTCATATCCCTTCTCATTGGTTAGGTTATTAACTCTATTGATCTTAGATCACTACTCACTAGTGCAGAGCATGAAAAAAGGTGCAAGATATTAAATAATTCTTGAATGCCAGGCCCTGATCTTCTTTCAGTTACCCACAGCTTTTCAAGCTCAGCTATGTGACAGGCCAGAGGAGAGCTAGGTAATTGATGGTGGATTAGAGGTTAGGCTTATGATATTCGAAGCGTGATCAACCCTCGCTAGGTGATTACTTAGGAACAGTGTAGCGAAGAGACATTTGGTTTTAACATTTATTTAGATGGCTGCAAATCTAGTTTGATAGGGAAAGGCTACATCCTGACTACATGTCCTTTGTTTATCAATTTGCCACTAATATCCCTAAGTTGAACAGGTCCTGCTTTCATGTAGCTGCATAACTGGTTTTTTGTGGGATATGGCACGTTTGTGGTTGGTGGCTTTTTGTGGTATCCTTTTTACAAAGAGCATACAATTCAACACTGCATTTTGATTGATGGGTCAGTGTAACGCCCTTAGCAATAGTCCCACATTGATTGTGTGAGGATGTAATGATGGGTTTAAATAGTAAGCCTAGGGAACCAAGTGCAACAATAGTTAACCATTTTAGGGCAGTTGATTAGCCAAACAACTCTTCAGTTAAAGTGTGCTTATGCAAGAGCACCCCCAGCCCCCAGGACGGGAGTTACAGTGTTGGACTTACATCGCGCCCGGGGCATGGCAGTCAGCGCAATGAAGTTTGTTCTGCAAGCACTCTTTGGTTTATTTGACAATATTAGCTTAGATTCCTCTCTGTTCCTGTTAGCAATTAATCACAAAATTCAAATGATGGATAGCTGATTATAATATGGCAGGCGCATCGTGATCAAATTATTGGTGACATATTTTCAGAGGAATCATAGCAAAGAGGTATTTACCCTTTCCATTTCTAAAATCTAAGTTTTATCCAAACATGTTATTTGGTGAGTGGATGAGGATCAAGCATGCTACTTCTACATGAATGTGAATGTGATTTGCAAACTGCACAATTTTTTCTCCCAGGTTCTGGATCTTATGGTTCGTATGTTAGGATTTTCTGAGGAAGAGAAGCAGAGAATTGGTTTTGCTCAGAGTGCTGCAGGGAAAGGCGTAGTTCGAGGTGTGTTAGGTCTACCAGGACGCCTGGTTGGAGGCATCTTGGGAGGGAGTTCACCCGAAGCATCTTCTCATGCTTCTGATAACCAGGTTGTTTTTTTTTCAGCACCCTGGCATTTCCGTTTAATTTTACTGTTTTACACTTGCAAAAGAATATTGTCACAAATTGTTCCATAGGATTTTGCCCACTGCCTCAACTTGGAGAGGTCTGTAAAAGTGTAGTAACATGGGATTATGAATTCAGACATTTTCTCCCACAAAGTGATAATAAAATTATGAGCAACTTCCATAGCTATCGTGTCAAATCGCTGATGTGGCACACATCCTGACTGCTACAATATATATCATCAACATATCGAGATCATAGCTAACAGCTTAAATGTGTCACATCAGCAATAGTCAACAGTGTGAATAGACGCACCAGTCCCAATTTATTCTAAACTTATTATGGTATGGTAGATAATCACATCTCTGTAATAATGCTTCCCAAGACTTCTGATAAATTATCGAAGAATTAGTAAACCTCAAAGGCGCAGAAGGTGTTTTGCTTTCTGTCAGATATCATACTATATTGCACAGTAATAGATAGCAATGATGGGCAAAAGTATAAATCTTAGAAAAATGTTGAGCTTTGAAATTCATTAAGAGCCTTTAACATCAATATTGCACCAAAATCTTCAAACTAGTATAAATGTCCAAGTTTCTAACCGTCCTTGTACTTCATCAGTCATTTGCGGATCTATGGGTTGACTTTCTTCTCAAAGAAACGGAGGAACGGGAGAGGAAGGAATCTGAAGAAGCTGCTCGACTGTCTTCAACCCCTAAAGAAGGAAGCACAAGCTCTACGAAGTTACCTAGTAACTATAAACCCCCAACTTCAAATTATTCAACAAACCAGTCCCTTCCTTTGAGACACCAGAAACCTTTTGAGCAGATCGATACTGAATTCGCAACAGTTCCGCTCAATTCTTCCTTCTCTCCATCAGCAGCAAGGTATGACCCCACCAGAATGCCTTCAAGGTACTGATGGTAGTAATTTACGATGCAAGTTGGAGGTCAATCGTCTTTTGCTGTAATTCGTTTTAGTCGATATTTCATTTGTTCATATCGAAAGCAGTGTATTTTAATTTTGGCCGCATTATTTGTTGTAAAAAGAGAGTTCCTTTTGTTCAGCATTCATGATGCCATATGGTTTATTCATGCTAATGTTTCATTTTTATTTTTAATTTTTATGTTTTGATGTTGGAAACATTCATTCTATATTTGGTTGTATTACTTGTCGTAGAAAGGATCTAGTTTGTTGGTCTATGACCACCACCGAAAAAGAAAAAAAAAACTGTGTGATGTGATCCGAAAGTGCTAACAAATTTCGACTCAATCAAACTTTAAAATCATCACAAACCCAAATTACAAATGCAAACGTGATCCGCTCAGTGTATATTCCCGCATAAGTAATAAATCATGTATTCAATGGCGTCGTATGTGATTTTCTCCTCAGAAAAGCTTTGTTTTCTTATTTCATTTTCAGATCGAAAGCTATAGACTGGACTAAGAGCACCGAGCTCATGTGTTGAGCTCATCATGTTGAATCCTCTCCGTTACCATTGAACATAATCAGATGCCCATCCTTCACGCCACAGACAGGTCTCAGTGATTAAGTCACTAGATTTCTTGGACTCCAAAATAACATCAAAACTTTCGCGAGCAAAACATATCACTAAAAAACCGCTAAAAGTATGATCGCTCAAAACTTTCCAATATTCAAGCCCTGTACCCTCGAACAATTTCCTAATATTCATACACGGGAAGAATGTGTACCACGTCTCGATAAAATCTGCAATATGATGAATTGAATTCATCATATACAGTTGCTTAAAACTAATTACCATAAAATTGAAAACCGGTTATAATTTCTGTTGACTCCACGGCGCTTTTTCAGTGAAACCTGTTTATTAGAAGCTCCAACGACAATCAGTGATGCAATTAAAGTCCAAATATCAGGAAATCATGCAACGTTGCCCGCACTCAAACGTGCCCAATCCATCAATCACGCTGCTGCATCATGCAGACTACACACATTCAACTAAACAGGGTCATGGATCAGGAGTGCATATAGACATCTACAGGAAATATAATAACATTACAAAATCATTAAAAACACAATATCGTTTAACCACCCCAGAAATGTTCAAATTTACGCATCGAACCTCATGCCAACAGCAAAAAGCATGCATCCTTGAGTAAACATCGCAACATGAAAATGATATAGCACAGTCACAATGTGCAAAAACGGCATACAAGCATATAGAATGTAAGCTACAATACGATCCATGTCACAAAATATTTGAATCGTACACACTAATCATACTAGAGTTATCCGGACAAGAGAAACCAGTCACAAAATATAACAATGATGAGGAGAAACAACAAAACAGCCATGATAACTTGCCATGCCAATAACCATCAGAACCTAATACAACCACGAGGTACCTTCTCCTTTCCTAGTGTAGCTTCTTATCCTTCAATGGTGCCCTCGGGATCTTGCTCAAATACTTGGCATGAACCACAGCATAGTGCTTCTTGAACTCTGCAGCTGCTTTCTCTCCAAATGAGTCGACTTTGTCCTCGTACTTCTCGTACAGGACAGGTACTGTGTGCAGCAAGACAAATGCTGTTTTTTTCCATTGAAGTAAAAAATCAGTCAGACAAAAGAACATAGAACCGAAATGAGAACCACAATAAAAACGCCATTATCCCAAATTCTTGGTGTTGGCTACATGAATGATACTCTTTTCACTCAGTTCGTTGAGGACTAACTCCTCCACTAAGTTGATCATTATCGTGTTCTTCTCAACAGTTTCCAAGTGTTTTCTTAGGCCTACATTCCCCAACAATTGTGACCTTATCATTTCTCCTAGTTAGTACATTTGATGACTTACATCGCACATGAACAAACCATCTCAAATGAAAAAACTGAAAAGAAAATTATGAAGAAAA